TATTTGAGCTGATATCTAGAACTTGCTATATTAAGATCTTGAAGTAGTGCCTGAAAATTATTGCTACATATTACATGTAGGGTATTCTTATGCCTGGAGAGTGCCATGCATATCTTTATTGTTATAAAAATAATACTAAATAATAAAGCAGGGTTATTTTAAAGGTCTGATGTTATAAAAACCATCAGGACTACAAATGAGTGTTTTATACCATTAAAAAATGCCTGCCTGTATCAAATCTGTTGGAAGAGACAATTATAAAATCAACTGGTAAACTACACACATGCTATCGAAGAAACAAAGGACTCTTACAGCTAACTCTACAGCACTGTAGTCAGGAGGAAAAATCCTTGAGAGGTCTGGCAATATTAACATAAGTGTTTTACAATTCATAGATATATATTTTTCTTAACAGTTTTTTAAAGAGGAGACCCACTTGTACATAAATTATTTTAACACTATTCACAAAGCCTTTTGCCATATATGCCGACTTCTCTACCACTTCTTCAAGGAATAATTGTACTCTTATAATTCCTGAAGGCCATGATTAGTTCCAGCTTAGGATTTCGCATAATGTACTTCCCTGTGGTACCTAGTCAACCAAAGGTGTCATACAGACAATTATTGTGTTATCTAGAGAGAACATTACATTCCTTATTGTTTAATGTTTCAGAATACGTTACTTACAGGAATTAGCTTGAGCCTCTTTCTGCTTTTATGGTGTATTACGGTAATTGAAGAAACATACCAAAGCATTTAGGAGCAATGAACTCTCCCAACTTCTAATCCTGCTGCAATGGCTGGAAAGATTTATTCTTTATTCATTTGTATGCACATGACAATTCAGGAAGGCTCAAGTACTGACTCTACCAATTTTATATGATACGCCTTATGATTTTCTTGATAACTTGCAATTATACTCCCTTCTCTGCATGACCTCAGAAACTTTAATCTTCAGCATGAAACTTCAGTCCTTGCCATTCTAATGTTACTGGTCAGCTGCTACACTTACAGGTACTTTGGAAATTCTCAGTAGTAAAGAATAAAAGCAAAGTGCTTGCTATCAATTTCGCAAACTTTGATCTGGTTTCTTGATTCTCCTTAATTCCTGCCAGAGACTCTTGTCAACATTGATCCTGTTTGCAATGGAGTACTGTAATGCAGACTCTTTAGGAAAGTCATTTACAGGAAAAATATGCAACTAACTTAAATGGCATAAATATATGGACAATATTGCTACACATTCACAGCAAAAAAAGAAAAAAAAAAAAGCTGGAATACATTGGTGTTTAGGTTTACATTAAAATAGTAACAATTTGTCTCTACCAGCATCACCCTATCCATAGCATAGCACGCAGTTGTGCCATGCTGTGAGGAGCTTAGGTAAGAGAACCATCATCAAAGACCCAGCAGCTTTCATTCCTCCCCTCTTTGCTTCAAGAGGAAATGACCTACTGTCTTTCACTCCCAGCAAAAGATGTATTTTCCTTGTGTTGATTAGCTGGTTGGCTCTGCTTAATCTACATTCTTCTTGAGTCTCTGTTCAGAAAGTGATAATACTAGCATAGCTGGTGATATGAGGAAGACATTCAGATAAATGTTTTCCATCTAGATTTGCTAGAGATGTTTAGATAGACTATAGAGTGACCCAGAGTCTTTAAAGGCCAAATTCTACTACCCTTTCAATGATGAGCAATGTTACTGATGTATTGATGATACTGTTCTTGCAGAGGTGATCAAGGAGCAGAAAAGGGGAGATGCTCTGCTGGACCTGATGCTTACAAATGAGGAAAAACTTGTCATAGAAACATAGAATCACAGAATAGCTTGGGTTGGAAGGGACCTCAAGGATCATCAAGCTCCAACCCCTCTGCCACAGCCAAGGCCACCAACCTCCACACCATTTTACACCATGCTGCCCAGGGCCCCACCGAACCTGGCCTTGAACACCTCCAGGGAAGGGGCATCCACAACCTCTCTGGGCAGCCTGTTCCAGCACCTCACCACTCTCTCTGGAAAGAACTTCCCCCTGACATCCAGCCTAAATCTTCCCTCCTTCAACTTAAAACCATTTCCCCTTGTCCTGCTTTTATCTACCCTTTCAAAGAGTTGACTCCCTTCCTGTTTGTAGGCTCCCTTTAGGTACTAAAAGGCTGCAATGAGGTCACCCCACAGTCTTCTTTTCTCTAGGCTGAACAAGCCCAGCTCTCTCAGTCTGTCTTCACTGGAGAAGTGCTCCAGCCCTCTGATCATTTTTTGTGGCCCTCCTCTGGACCCTCTCCAACAGCTCCCTGTCCTTACTGTATCAAGGCGTACAAAGGTTGCAGACTTGGCTGCAGTGACATGGAGATGTTAGTGCAATTAGCAGGGTCACAAACCTGGACTTAAAGAAAGCAGGCTTCAGCTACTAAGAATCTTAGAGATCTGCTTTGCAGGATCCCTTCAGATACAGAACGGAAGAGTCTAGTAGAGCTGTTTGATTCTCAAGGATCACTTCCTAAAACTTAAGAACAATCCAGCCCAACATACAGAAATAAGGCAAGAGCAGCAGGTGGAACAAAAATAAAACTAATGCCCAAATGGGAAAGAAGGAGATCTGGGGAAATACAGGTCAGTAAACCTCACCTCGACCCCAGGGAAGGTGGCCAAGCAAATAATTCCTGGTAGACAAATTGAACATAAGCCAGCAATGCACCCTTGCAGCAAAGTAGGATGACAGCCTTCTAGGATGCATGAGGGCCAGTCCTGCCAAGGGAGGTGAATTTTCCTCTCCGTTCATCCCTGATAAGCTCACATCTCTGAGGTGGGTGTTGAGTTCAGTGCTGGACTCCCCAGTACAAAAGAAATATGAACATATTGGAGTGAGTACAAAGGTCATAAAGATGATGAAAAAGGCCATAAAGATAATGAAGAAACTGGAACATCTGGTTTAGGGGCTTGGCTTCACAGAGCTGGGAATTTTTAGCTTTGAGAAGGCTCAGAGGGGGAAATCCTACCAGTGTGTATAATATCTGACAGAGGGAATAAACATGGTACCACTTAGAGCTTGTAGATTACAGTTGTATACCTGCATATGAAAACTAATAAATATATTTTTTTGGGGGGGGGAAGGGGGGGAGGGGAATTTCAGAACTACAAAGCAGTGTTTAAATTCATTATTGTTGATGCTGTTTGTTTGTTTTTTTCCATTGCTGCTGCTTTTTCACTGATCTTTTCAAAGCAGTGCAGCTTTTTCAGAGCCACCCACACCTATTTCTTACCTTTACCCAGCTAATCACACACAGTAGCAAAAATGAATAACTATCATAACTATCATTCATTTCACTGTACCACTGGATTCAAGGGGGGCTACTTTTATGTCTGAGTACTTTTTTGATACCAAAAAAAAACAAAAAAACAAAAAAACAAAAAAAAAAAACCAAACAAACAAAAAAACTTTTGCAGAAACTGAAAAAAAAAAAAAAAGATATTTTCTACAATCTTTCACTTTAGAGATTTGCTTCTTACTTTCTCCTACTCTTATTTGCTTGGCTTCTTTTTATTTCCTACCATTTCAGCTTTGTCCCAAAAATAAACACAAAGTTTATTCTTTTAGAGATGACTATCTTTTGACAAAGAACATTAACTCATCAGGAGAGACATAGATTTTCTGATCTAGTTGCTATAACATGCAAGAAAGGAGAATAATGAAGCAAAAAAAAAAAAAAAGTATTTTCAGTTTCTGAGCATGCTAGTTGAAAGGTAATAAGTGATATGCTATTTTGCATTACTTCTATGCAAATGAATGAACAAAAAATGATGAGTTGGGGATATTTTCATGGACTTGAAAATAGGTTTTAAGATTACAAGAAATTCAATCCCACTGCAAATATAAAATATTAATCATGTATAGTAATGTTGCATGTTGGATGAAGAAGTAAAAAGGTATTTATGTCTTGCCAAATGGATCATCGTACAACTTCCAATGACTTTTGTGCTGTATCAAGTAAAATTTAGACATCTGCCAAAGATTAATGAAATGCTATATATGGTCAACTCATTTTTGCAGCTAATAGCAGCTGTACTTTATGAAAATACTTAAAGTTGAATTAAAGCAGTTGCCTGTCAATGTTATAGAAGATTGGTAAGTTTCGATCGTATGTACAGAACTGTGATACATGCTCAGAATGATGTCTTGGAAGAAAAAATCACTGTTTGAAACAGGAGATAAAAAGAATAATTCTTTTTGTTATGTCCCAGTGTCCCCAGACAATTCAACTCCAGAGCCACCAGCCAAGACATATGGCAAACCTATTAGATAAAGTGTAAGGGCAAAAGAAGAACAGTTACACTGTATTACTGAGAAGAGATGGAGCATTTTGCAATTAGTGATACAGGACTAATGGTGACTGCCAACAACTGCATTTAAGGTAACACTTAGAGATCTTCAGTAGAATGAACCTTGATCCCAATGGGCAGCATTTTCAGGAAATCATAATGTATTGTCACATACAGAGGCCTCCAGTACAGGAAAAATGTGCAGCTGTTGGATAGGGCCCAGAGGAGGGTCACAAAGATGATCAGAGGGCTGGAGCACCTACCTATGAAGTCTATGAAGGCTGAGGGAGCTGGGCTTGTTCAGCCTAGAGAAGGTTGTGAGACCTCATTGCAGCCTTCCAGTATTTAGAAGGGGATTATAGAAAGGAGGAGAAGCAAATTTTTACTCTGGTAGATAGTGATAGGACAAGGAGGGAATGGTTTTAAGCTTAAGCAGGGAAGGTTTAGATTGGATGCAAGAGGGAAGTTCTTTATATGAGAGTGGTGAGGTGCTGGAACAGGCTGCCCAGAGAGGCTGAGGATGCCCATCCCCAGAGGTGTGCAAGGCCAGGTTGGATGTGGCCATGGACAGCCTGGTCTTGTATTAGGTCTGGAGGTTGGTGGCCCTGCATGAGGCAGGAAGGTTGGAACTTGATGCTCCTTGGGGTCCCTTCCAATCCAAGCCATTCTACCATTCTATGATTCTATACACAGACAACAAGTAAGGTGCAAAAATACAAGCCCTGAGGTCAAAAGGACACATCCCAACCCCCTCCCCACCATCACCCGTACAACTAACTGCCCGCCTTCAGTGAGGCGGGGGCCACCAGATTCGGAGGGGGCGGAGGCGACGACAAAGCCGAGAAGACCGAGCCACGCCGGTGACCGTTCTCCCCCCCGCCTCCCCCCGCACACACTCCACACACACACCCCACACAAAACGCTGCGGTACCGCCCGCTCCCTCTCCGCCTCCGCGAGGCGGGGTCAGAGCTGAGCGGCACGGGCGGCGCTTTGCCTTTCGCCTCCTCAACTGCTTTGTCCCTCTGGGCGGCCCGTAGCGGCGCCGTCACGCCTGCCATCATGGAGGGAGCCGGGGCTTCCTCCGAGGCGTTGCGCTACGCCGAGTACGCTAGGGGCCCTACGGGCGCCGGCAAGGGCCAAACCGAGCTGGACCGGAGACTGGTGAGCGCGCTGAGAGCCGGGCAGGCGGCGGGGCGGCACCGCAGCGTGCTGTGCCCTCGCAGCGTTGTTCCCTCGGGGCTGGCATCCGCCACGGGCAGGGAGGGCGGCGTTGGCCCCCTGCCCAGGGCCAAGCCTGGTGGGATCGCAGTCTGTTCCCGTTTAACGCGGGGTTAAACGTGGGGTTCTGTCAGCCACGGGGAAGCTGAAGTTGTGTGGGAGAGGCGGGATGTCAAATCCTTCCACCCTGCGTGAGTTCTACTGGAGCAGGCTCTAATTTCTGCTGGTTTTGTGGAAGTCTAAGCGAAAAAAGTCACTCTCTCCTAGCAGCTCGTCATCTGGGAGAGGCTGAGCGAGGACCAGCGCTGGGGTTCACACGTTGAGGTTCAGAGATTATGAACAGCAGTAATTACGATCCCCATAGCAAAAAGGGAAGGAAGTCCATCCGTAAGCCTCCAGGTGCTGAGATACTGCATTCTTACCTGCTCATCCATGGTTAGTATGGGTAGAGACGTAGCATCCCAGTGGTGGTTAGGTGGTTAGAGGCTACTGTCAAAAGATGGGAACATAAATTAATTTAAATGACTACATCTCTTCTAAGTATTCTGACATGGGGCAGCTGCTGGGCTCTTCTCACAAGAGAACACTCCTGCAGCTCCCCAGCTACCCACAGCCTTGCTATGTAAGCCCAATGTACCTCATCTTGCTACAGAATAACAGAGTATGGTTGCAGAGGTGAAGTGGGATAACACACATCTACACCTTCAGGGCTGAAAGAGCTCTGTTCCCAAACTGAATTTTAAGTTATGCAGGATGATAACTGAAATCACTTGTTCTAGGTCAATATACTTGTTTTACTGAAACATTCAGAGGTTTGAAGTGACAGAAAAACAACAGTGAAAGCGTAGAGTCCATGAAGACCGCTGCAAGAATTCATTAATAATGAATACCTATCTAGGAAGGCTGGTTGAATTCCTGACATTAACACTTCTGCTCTGGTACAGTCCCCTGTGAAAAACTGTCAGAAACTTATAAGTTTGTAGTAGTTTTGTATGTAAAACCAGAAAGTTACTATAAAATAAAATGAAGTAAATTTACTTGAAAATTGGGTGTGTATGGAGATGAGCTTTTAGCTGAAACTAGTTTTAATTTATTATTGGAAAATAAATTTCAGAGGGAGGTGAGAATGGATAGAAAGCATTAAGTTATGAAATCAAATCTGTTGCAGGTAGTTTATGATATAATCCCAATGTATCCAGCTCCATATAGAGCTAATTAGGTGGTTTGCTCGAAACTTTCTAATAAACTCTGAAGCCTTCTAATAAACTGTAGCTACTCTTCTGGGGAATAGCAATCTTCTTCTAACTTCCATGCCAGATGCAGTCATTTATTTGAGGTCTAGAATTTTTAAATAAGGGAAAAAAAGTAGCCTTGGAAATAGTTCTGTATGCTTGGTTAATGTCCTTGTGAGTTCTAACTTTTAGTAGCATACATACAGTTGTTTAAAAAACAAACACCTTTTTAAAACGAAGTTTCTAGTTAAGTATATTACATTCATGCATTTACTTGAATTCAGGTACATACTCCCTATTTTGCCTATTCACAGTTAACCATGGACTACTACCAAACTGCTGTCCAGCCCATCAGAACAAATAATTGTTTTTCTCTATGCTTTTTATTCCATTTCACTATAGCTTTCTGTGACCCCCCAAAAATATAGAGCCCTTGTTCTATGTCTTAAAGCTAGGTGTTAAAAAAGCAGAATACTTTTTGTTTGACCAAGGAGGATGTTTTCACTGGTTGCAGTAGGAGAACCAGAGTATAAAATCCAAATCTTGTGCAGGCAGGTGTGTTTTAACATTCATAAAGTTTATTCTCGTAGCTTGTTGTTAGATGTAACAGTGTTGTGCTGAAATTTTAGAATTTGCATTTCTAATATGCATTTGAAATACCCTTTTATGTTTTTATCATCTTTTTTTCTACTTCATAGAAGAGAAAGCTGTAAAGCAGAGTGCTGTGGTTTAGGAATATCTTACTCTTCCCAGTTGCTTCTGCTTAAAAAGATTAAGGCTACAGGGAACTTACATATTAGTGGATTAGTTCTTGGATCTCTGTATGAAATGGTGTCTGGTGTGCACCTTTACATACAGTGTTTGTCAATATGCTTTATCTTCTTTTGTTTACCAAATACTCTGGTAAGTCATGTCCTGTGGTTGCCTTTCTAATGGATGTATTTCCTTATAGACATTTCTCTAAAGATGAAAAAACAAAACTTTGCAAATTTAGCAAAACTTTGTTTTACTGTTATCTGTATCTTAGAGGTTTTGTTACTAAAACTAAACTTCATAATAAAAGACTGAGATCAGCAGAATAGCACAGGGTTGATGACTAACCTTTGGGAGCTGATTCATTGAATAAAGAAAGGGACAGATGTTACTTTTTAATCTTCTATTTCTTTATTTTCCCCTCTTGTATCTTAAGGAATGTTTTCTTATATAACCTACATAGTTAAAAAAATTTAAATCACCTTCCCCTCCCCTCTCCCTCCAAAAAAGCCAATTTTGCCACAGTTGAAGTCAGTGAGTGTTTATTAATATTCTGAGCCTTTGAATCTGAAATAACATGCATGTTAAAGCAATGTGAGCCAAAAAAGCTCGTGGTGGTAGATACGAGAGTGAGTTGCTTTCCCTTCATATTGACAAGAAGAGTGCCTATAATTAAAGCTTTATGGTCATAAGAATAAAATTTGCTGCTGTATATTTTGAAGTTCCAGACTAACCTTGATTTTTCCTTCTAAATAATCATCTGAGTTAAGTGAGCGTGGAAAAGAAAACTGGGACAGACTGGACTTCACCATAAGTAAAGTTACCATTAGCTTAAAAAAAGACTCCGTGCTAGTAAAAGATGAACTGTGCAATCTTTGTTCTATTGATTTAAATTCAGTTTTTATTGCAAGTATATAGTTGGCATATACTCACACCATAACAAACATTCAGGATGTTTTGAGGTGACAAGTTACCACTGTGGCTAATAGGTAGCAAGTGACTCTTTTCTAACCTGCTGCTAACATAAATAAGGGAAGTTACTTTGTTTTGATGTTTCTTAGCTTTTTGTATAGTTTTATCTCACCTGTAAACATGGGCAGTCTCTTATGGCTCTGTGGCTTGATCACCCCATTGCTTTAGCTACTTTTCTGTCTGGTCTTCAGATTGCTGTTGGTCCTGCTTACCACTCCTATCTTAGAACTACTATCACACTTATTTTTTTTTTTAAGTGCTGCTTTTCACTAGCTTTCCTATAACTGCTTGTGCATTCCACTGAGACTGAAATAATATACCCCAGTGGACACGGTTCTCAGGGAACTCTACAGTGCTTACAGACCACTCTGCAAAAATACTTAAGCAATTTCTGTGCAGAGCTGATGGAGTCCAAGTATCATTTATTAGCCTGATGTCAATGTTCTGCCTTTACCTGTGACGAGGTGTCTCTTACCAGTGGTAGTGTACCTTGTTGTAAACTGCTGACATAAACTACCTTTTGGTGGCAAGTCAAGAATAAATTAATTTTGACAAGCACAGGCTAATAAATATTATTTTTTTCCAATATGATCTATTTCACACGTTGTTGGGCTCTTAATTGACTGTAACCACTTAGTAAGAGATTCTCACAGTCAGTCTGAATGAGTCAAGAAAAGTCTCTACTGTATGTAAATCTGTGATCACAAGCCATGGAACAGAATAATATATAATTTCTTTAGAGTTTTGGTATTTCTAGAAGTATTGTGACTGTTGCTGGTTAGTCTTTAAACAGAGGGATTAGAAGAATCTCTTAGAGTTTTCATATTTGAATACTGAGAGCCTGGGAAAACTGATCTGTGTGAAGAAGTGGAAAAAACTTTAATGAGGAGATGAACGGTGTGCTTCACTGTTTTATTTCCTTTACCATCTGATGTAGCATCCTTTTATTTTTCATGGCCTGAAGATGAAGGGAAACTGCAACTGGAAGGAACAACGGATATTAAACTACTACATTATTTTTACATGCTTACATTCAGACATGAATGCTAATATCAGGACTTCAGTCTACGATAAAATGGAATAGAGTGGTGACTTTAAAGCACCTCTGGGCAAAACTCCTTCAGTCTTAACTTTGGAGCTCCACTCCCAGCATGTGTAGAGTTTCTTTGTTTTCTTTTTTTCATACCAGAAGCCTCTCAGCAACTGCAATACTATGTTATGCTCATGGTCAGGATAGTCCACTCATAGAATCATAGAATGGCTTGGGTTGAAAAGGACCACAATGATCATCTCGTTTCAACCCCCTGCTATGTGCAGGGTCACCAACCACCAGACCAGGCTGCCCAGAGCCACATCCAGCCTGGCCTTGAATGCCTCCAGGGATGGGGCATCCACAACCTCCTTGGGCAACCTGTTCCAGTGTGTCACCACACTGAGTGAAAAACTTCCTCCTAATATCTAACCTAAACCTCCCCTGTCTCAGTTTAAAACCATTCCTCATGGTCCTATCTCTATCCACCCTTGTAAACAGCCGTTGTCCCTCCTGTTTATATGCTCCCTTCAAGTACTGGAAGGCCACAATGAGGTCTCCCCAGAGCCTTCTCTTTTCCAGGCTAAACAAGCCCAGTTCCCTCAACCTTTTCTGATAGGAGAGGTGCCCTATCCCAGTAGGATGGTATCCGATAGGAAGTGCTTTAGCTGAAATATGTGGGATCCAGAACCTAGATGCTGGGGAAGGCAATTTCTTATAGATGGACTCAGAGAAGGCTGCTGATTCTTCTGTTCTGAAGTCAGTGCAACAAGCAGCAGTCACTGTCACCTTCCTTCACAGCCAGACAGGAGCTACTGGCTGTGGTGGAAGTGCCGCCATTTTGCATAGCCACCTGATTGCAGGGAAGATTGTTGCCCTGTGCTCTAGCCCCTACTAATGCAGCTCTGGAAAGCTTAAAAACCCCTATTTCCCAACTCTTCCCCTACTCTGCCTGGGAATGAGATTGACTACAAGAGTTTTAGCCACGGTAGCTACATGACACTAAATGTACTTTTTGGGACACATCAAAATTTGGGCATGCAGTTCCGCTCTCAGATTTGTTGGTAGAAAATCTATAAGTCAGTTATTGGATAAATGCAGAGCAGAAAGCCATCCAGAGGAGAATCAATCTGGTGATAAAAACATTTTCACTGTTGTATGTTTTGAAATCCAGCTAAACAGGCCTAATCTGATTTCTCTTGCTTCCTGGGGAAAAGTTCAAGGCATTATTAAACTATCAGATATGAACAAATACTGCGATACACCAGATACTCAGACTTGCAATGTTCTTTATCCTTGAATTCTGGAAATGATTGAGAAGTTGGTTTGGATCCTTATCGTTTAGAGGCTACTTGTTCAACATGGAGATATTTCCTATAGTCCTTCTTAAGTTTCCAGACCTTTAGGCGTTGTAGAGAAAAATATACAAGCCCTATTTGGGATTTTTGAGTTAGCAGGAGGTAGGAGTTAGTACTGAATCAGATGTTCAAATCTTTTTGTGGGTTTGGTTGCAAGAGACTTAAAGCAAATTTAAGACTTTTAGACCTACAGCAAATTTAATCCAATAATGAAAACTGTCTGAAAACTGTCATACAAATATTTGTACTATAATTTAAGCATTCAGACAGGGGTTGACAGTAAATGAGAAGAGATTACCAGGCTCTGTGTCTGACTGTGGCTTCCATGAGTCAAAGGGTGAACAATGGAAGACACTAATGTTTGTGGCTGTGGGATGGGACTGTTTTGTTCCCCATGGTTTTGTGATAAACTAATACTTTCTTTTATGGTGAAAGAATACTTTTTTTTATTGCTTCAGATTGTGTTGAAATAGTCTTTGCATAAAAATTCCAGTAATCCTGAGCAGTGTCTGCCATGTGTTTTTTATTTCATACTGTGTGATGCTTTGTTAGTGTTTATTCACTGATTTGCTAATCCAACTTAAACCTGAAACACTGGCATAGGTTAATGGGGCAGTGCTGTGAGATTTGATATAGCCTTTGGTAAAAAGACACATACTTTATATTTCGTATAAATTATATATTAAATGTCCACAGCATACATCAAAAATACTTACTGTTAAAGATGCATACATTCCAAATGAGAATGTACAATTCATTCTGATTCCTATTTTCTTGCTTTAGGCCAGATCTATGATAGCAGTTGGACTCGGTGTGGCAACTGTTGCATTTGCAGGTAAGCTAAATTACCAGCTGACTGTGGATCTACTTACCTGCCTACTGCTATTTCCAATGAGGTTTTTATGAATACCACTTGGGAAGTGGCTGTTGCTCAAGAGCTGTGGAGAATTGTGTCCATTTGTAGTTCCCATCCCTTCAAAATTCTTGATACATTTTCCAAAATTCTTTTGGAAAAAGTCACTGCTAGAGAAACTTGTTTTGTGGGCAGCAGTGAAAAGGTTCTGCACGCTCTTTGTCTGCAGAATGTAACATAAAAGGATTATGCTATTTTATACGTATATATAAGGGTGTTGCAAGGTGAGGCTCTTTCTTACAGAAGAGTACAGCAGATCTAGTGGTGTGAAAGCGGTGCTTGACAAATTCAAACATGGAAGAATGAAAGATTTTAGTGGTTACAGTTATACATCATATTAACCTGTTCCTGTAGTACCTTGTTTGTTACCTGAACTCTGCATCTGGATTTGTTTTTCTGAACACAGGTCGTGGGCTTAATGTGATTTACATGCTGATTTATTCAGATGGGATAAGTGTGGTCTATTCTAGTTTTTTAAATACACGGATCAATTTCCATTACTTTCAGGATGTAAACTCAGCCATGCTCAGCTGTGTGCAAATGCATGCGCCAAGAATAGATGCATGTAGATACATCCTAATACAAAAAAATTCAGCTGGTATTTTGTGAGTGCAGCTGTTTTATTTTAATTAGTGGAAGTAGAGACAAGATACTTGTGATGCACATCTATTAAGAAGCCAATTAATATCTATATTCTTGTATAGAAACAGAAGACAGTAGAAGTGGAATTTCTTCTGTTGGTTAAGATGAATTAGTAGTGACCACTAACAATGAGGTGGTAATTGTAAGTTTTAAGAAGGTGAGGTAATATATTATTAATACATGGCAGCATTTCAGCAGTGGAACTCCAACAGGGGTTTTGATTTCTGTGTTAGCACAGGCAGATATAAATGGCTACAATAACTTACAGAGATATCCTATGTTTTAAGACTGAAAGCAGGATGTTCTGTAAGTAAGGGAGAGCCACGTCTTATAAAAATGTTTTTTTCCATTATATTTAATAACAAATTACATTCCTAATAAATTATTAATCAAAACAAAAATTGAGGGGATGGGACCTACAGGGAAAGCTACCAGTAACAGTACTAATTTTAATTCTTAAGATGGTAGACCTTCTTTGTGCTTCAGAGAACAAAGTCTAATATAGATTCATGTACCCTTTCTTAGCTATATACGTTCACTGCCATTTGGGAGTTGAATGTCTCTGAATCCCAGAAGGTCTTCTCTTTGTAAGAAAATAAAATGTAGAATGTACAAAATATGTCATTAAGCATACAACATTACACCAGGAAACATGTATGTGGATTTTTTTTTTTTTTGAAGACATAACCTTTGAATGTTATTTAATAAATAATGCATATCCAAAGCTAATGTTCTTATTGCACTTTATCTTAAAGTTCACAATGCTGATAACTTCATTTGTCCTATTGAAATGCATTTAAATCTTATTTATTTATGCACAAACACAGTGGATGTTTGCAGACCATGACTATGTTTTTATATTATGTGTATTACCTCCCCACACATTCTCAGTATAACGACTGAAAAATGTAAACCTCTGCAAGTTTATCACAGGACTTTTGTTCAGGACTTCTGCTGGGCAGAATCCAAAATCAGACACTGAAGGAATATTTTGAAAAGCAGTAAAGTGCAAAGGTACCATACAGAAAATAAATGGAATGAGAAGGTGAACAATGAAGAATGATTTTTTTTTATAATCCAAAATTCTTTCTGCTTCAAGCTGATGAACAGGTGTCAGACACTTTGTGTATGTGTGTGTTTAAATGTCACTTATGGTTTCTTTTGACTTCATTTTTTTCAGGTCGTTATGCATTCCACCTTTGGAAGCCATTGGGGCAGGCAATTACAGAGACAGCAAAAAAGATTTCAACTTCTGTAAGTTTGGAGGTTACTTGATACCAGCTACATCTATTTATATGTCAGATATTTAGAAGGAAGTCATTTTATGTTGAATATTGCAAATGCCAGCTAGATTTTTTTTTTCCCTGGATTGGAGTACTCCTTGCTCTGTATGTTCTGTCATTTATTAGATATATTTTTAAGATCATCTAATAAACTTCTAGGACGGGTTGCCAGAGAATAGAGGAGCTTGTTTTCTTTGTTTGCAACTCACATGTGAACAAGAAAACAAGCACTTCCATCTCTTTGCACATCACTTGTCTTTTTCTTGGGGCAGTTCCAAACTTATTCTCAGTTGCAGAGTGTATGAGCCAGATGCGGTGTTACAGAATCATAGGGATTGGAAGGGATGTCTGGAGATCATCTAGTACAACCTCCCTGCTAAAGCAGGTTCCCTAGAGTGTTCCTGGATCAGTTTTCACTCCCTGTCCCTATGCTGCATTGCTATTGTGAGACCAACATCAATTTCATTTTTCCCTTTCTAAAATCAGTTTTGGAGAGGTTCCCATGTTGCCTGCCAAAACAACAGAGGGGACTTTAGGTACTGTGAATTAAATTGCTTTTATGTGATTTGGATACAGTCTGATGTAAAGGCTTGCTAGAAGTAGCAAGCAATAAGGACATGCGGCTTCGGAGGTAGGGAGTGCTTCAATTCTTCGTCCTCCCTCTCCAGAAGTTTTACTCCAACACATCTATCCATTTGTTAGATACAGGCTAAAGAATCTAAATTTAGACATTTGCATGTAAGAATTCAGGCACTGACTCTTTAACATATGGAAATATGACATACTACTGCACAGAGAGGTGTCTGTTTCTAGGAAACTGTACCCTTCCGAACCACTTTGCTGGCTGAGCCAGTCTCACTACAGGTCTGTTTTCCTTGATGACTTTCAGGGTACTGCAGAATTCACTAACAGGAGATTCTGAATTCTCAGTGTTCCTAGTCTCAGGAGCAGAATCTATTTCTGCCTTCATATCCTGCCTTAAAGCCCAGAGTTCTATGTTTCTCTCCAGCAAAATATTCTGTTACTGAACTTGAAAATACAGTGAGCAGCAGAAGACATGAGATCTGCTAGATACAGTAAAAACTTATTTAAATTTAATTAAAACAATAGAAAGTGAAATTACTGTACACAAAGATCCTAGCTAAGTACTTATTTTCCAGACTTCTTTTAGCAGCATCATGTGATTTTGTTTGGGGGGATTTGAAGCTGCTGTATATAAACTGTGGTATAGCAGTTTCATCATGTCTCTTTACAGTATAGTGTTCTCTAAACTGTGCTGACAATGGAAATCAAGCAGCCAGTACTTCTACTGATGTTTACTGGAGAAAGAATCATTTGTGACAGTCAGTGTCTAGGCTTAGTGCTACTTCACTGTAGTGCTTGAAGGTCCCTCACTTGGTCGCTATATTTTTCAGTGGTTACCTTAGCTTTCCAGAATCAAACCCTGTCCCTCATCACACCCTTTTTAGGAAGACTGTGAAGCAAGCTGCCTGTTTAAAAAGCTAACTGGTTTTACTTTAATAGCTATACCTTTCTTTCTTGAATCAATGGTATTTAGAATTCAGCCACAGACACAACAGTTCTAGGCAACATTGTTAAAAACTCCAAGTTCAATAGTCCTGAAAATTTTAAGTTCCAGAAGAAAGGGTCTCTTTAATGCTTTGCTGGAGATGTTTGTACTCAGTTTTTGTTTGTTTGTTTGTTTGTTTGTTTGTTTGTTTGTTTTATTTGACCTGTTTCTGCTCAGATGCACCTATCTCTAAATTAAGAGCTAACAGTAGCAATCATCTCTTACAATATCTAGTCCATTTTACTTTTTTTTTTTTTTTTTCCAGGTGAAGTTAAGGAAGTTAAAATTGATATCAGCAAGTATCACATTACTTTATGGCACAGCTTCTAAATAGGTGTTTTGTTGTGCCTTTTCTGTGTACATGCATTTTTTTTTTTTTTTCCAGTGCTGTTTACAGTTTTCAGTTGATGATTATGTCAGTAGTGGAACAACACACAGGTTATCAGAAAAAAACACCACTTCGTGTAATATGATGTGATGTCTGGTTTCAGTTATGAATATCACTTCTCTTGCATGGAAATAGTCACTCTTTGGATGTATTGTGCCATAAAAAGTATCGTGAAGATGTCAGAGTCCAAATGAGTAGGATTTTCTTAGCTGACTGCCTAATGCTAAAATTTGCAAGAATGAATACACATCTGCTGAGCAAGTCCAGACATTTTCTGTTTCTCCCTTAACCTTTAAATAGCAGTATTTGCTTACATAAGTTGCTAAACAGTGACAGCATACACGGAAATGAAGCAAATTAAATGGTAGCTCCCCTGCCCCTCTCCAATGGCAAGAAGAAATGCAGAGCTTATTCTAATGATTTTTCCAGTACAAAAATTCTTTGCAATAGCCAGAGTTAAATAATAGTGTCTGGAACTGTGTGCACATCAGGAAGTTGCCATAGCAGAAAAGTATCTGAATGTAGTTTCTTTTCACTGCAGTCATTACTAGAAATTGTCATGTTTTTCTCAATTTTAATTTGAATAGTATGGAAAAGTTGTTTTATTTTGGACCTAGAAATTTGCTGAGATATTTCCTAAAATGAAGACTTGATGTTTCTTCCCCTTATTCTAACCAAGGGGAACAATGACTTTACATCTAAATTCCTTTTGCTTTAAATTCTGTTAAAGATCAAGATCTGAATGTAAGAAATTCATTATCCTTATCCTGTGCTTCACTTCTGAGAAGAAAATGTTTTTTGTTGACCACTTCCCCTGGCTGATTTTGAAAGTTCATGTTTGTTTATTTGCCAAAGGACATAAAAAAACCCATAATTTCTTATTTCATTCCTCTTGAAAGCGAACTGAATGAAAGCTTCCTGAAGTTAGAACAATTTCAAGGACGAGTGCTTTACAAACATGAAAAAGTATTTCTGAATTTAAGCCTATAGCCATTCCTCCTTATTCCGTGAGTTCAAATGAGCTATTTAAGTGATATCTACCAAGAACAGAGAGGAACTTTGTTAAGAGAAAATTCAAATATTGTTCTTCTCTACCTGAAGAGAGAACCAAGTGTGTTCTCTTATTTTAGAGCTGTATGCTATGGATGAAGAGCAAGGAGGAATTAACCTTTTCAGAAATCTATCTGTATTTAAGTTTTTTGGAAGAAGTTCTGGAAAACACTTCACAGGGCATTTAGGTGTTCTTTTCTCTCCTGATTGTAGTAATTGTTCAGTGTCCTTGCAAATTTCTGTGTGGTTTTACATCTTCAAGGAAATTACCTGGTGGCCACTTAATTACCAAATTGTTTCCTCTTGGAGGACTGGAGAAACCATTTGTGTTCCCTGAGTTTTCCATACTCTAGCCTGTACTGAGTACTGTTACAGATGTGCTTTGTTTTACTCTGCAACTTTGGAATAGTTCCTCAACAGATTTTTGTTGTAGGTGCAAAGTGTTTGCAGTCAGATCAGTTTTGATGATAACTGAATTATTACAGAGACGATTATCTCGTGTATGATTTGCAGTGGGGTGGAAAGAAGAAAAGTAAGATTTGCTTCAGACCATAGCAAACTACAACAAATCTCTTGGGAATTGCTGCCTTCAGAGACATTCTGTATTGGTAGCAATAACTGATTATTTCTGAAGCACGCTTTTGGGTGAATGTTGTTCCTGACCTTAAGCACTTTGCTTAGGCATCATAGAGAGACCCTTGTAAATGCTTTAATACTTTTGATATTACTTGAGTTTGTATAAATGTAATGCAAAATTCTCACTGGATATGAATGGATATATTTAGTAGCTAGTGAGAAAAGTGTTTTATTAAGGGCCAGGCACACTTTTGCTTGGAGGTAAAAGGAACATTTAAAAATAATCTCAACTCTCAGGCTAGACTTCTGTACGATGGCTTATTTTTCCCCTACTAATGTTTGCATTGAGAAAAAAAAATTCAATTTTGTTCAATAATTTCTATGTGCCAGTTCCCAAAGGCTACATTTTGGAGCTACATCTGTTGCCACTGGAAATTCTGCATCTTAGGCTATTATTTGTGTAGCAATGGACTAGTCCCTTATTCTTCTCTAAGAAAGATTTGCATTTAGGAGATCATTGCTAACCACTAATAACTGTTCATTATTATTATTATTATTATTATTTTTAAGATTTATAATTGGCAAATACACTTTCAGCCTAATCTCTGGTCTCTATTCTTCCTTCCTTTCCTCTTAAAACAGTGACTAAAGTCACACTTGCTAATTCTTGGATGCCAGAACATTATCACTCTTGCCATTTTCCATTTCAGTGCCACCAAAGCTACTTTTAACAACTTTATCCCTTTCTCTTCCCTGCCTGCATGAACACATACATCACTTTATACTAGCATATACTTTGATTCTGGACTGTTTTGCCTGAAGGCAGGATTTTAATGATTGTAACTATTAATACCTCCGATTAGTACTAGAAGATTGTAAAAACACAGATAGCTATTTTTAAGTTGGCTTTTGTATGAGTTAACACCCTGGAGAAGTCCTTTCATATTATCTGTTTTCTACTCGTTCCATGTCTTCAAAGTAAGTTATAGATGAATGTTAGGCTCTCAATGGGGTGTAATAAATGTGATATAGGTCATGGCACCTCATACATGAAACTAATTATTGCTTGTTTTGCCTTTTTTCTTTCTAGAGTCTCTCATTATACTATAAAGGAGGATTTGAGCAGAAAATGAGTAGGCGAGAAGCAAGTCTTATTTTAGGTGTAAGGTAAGTGTGCTGCATTAACATGGTTTTGTTTGGTGAGTATGGAATGAAGAAAATGCATATTGCAAGAACATAGAATATTCCGGCCGAAATCTTTTTTTTTTTTTTCTTTTTTTTCCAAAGGCTTGTAATGGCTTATAAACCATTTTAATATTCTGCTTAAGCTAAAAAGCAAACAATAAAATACTAATAAAACATGTGACTTGTGTTTGGCTTGCAGGTTTGGTAACATACTGCAGTGGAGAATTGGTGCTCTTAAAATAGTCAGAATAGCACATACTGTGCTAATTAGTGCAATCACATGGCTTGATTTCCAATAAAAACCTTGAAATGAGCAATATTGTAGATTATAGTGATGAAGAAGGAAAACAGATCAATTTTGCTTTTTTTTTTTTTATACAATGATTTTTTTTCCTTTCTATACTCTTTGATTTGTATGGATTAAGAGAGTTGCAGCGTACTCCAAGCATAAATACATTGAGAGACTTGTCATTTAGATTGGGTATAGGAAATTACTTCCAGACTGAAGAATCAATAGATTTTTGAGTAGAAGTTTTTCAGAAACATGGATGGCCAACAGTAGCACATGTCTTAGTGTTTCCTGTAAAACAAAGGGTGAGTTTGAGTGATCAGATCCAGCTGAGAAGAGTGGATCTGACCTGAGGTAGTGGATTTTCTGATTTAGATTAGTTCTTAATTTTAAGATGAGGAATAAATAAGAAGGATGGTTTGAATTATCTCTGGAAGTTAGGTGGTGAAAATTGGGGCTTAGAAATAGCACACAAACAAGATTATATTTGCTTCTGACATAATGGAAATATGCAGAAGTAGCATTCATTTTAAGAATTTGTAAAATAAATGATAAAATTTTCTTGAAATATGTCATGCTTGCACACAGAATAGCAGATTTATAGGAATGTTATATAGAAATATATCCTTGGACCTATAAGTTTGATAATATATTAATATTTTCACTTACTTTAGAAGGGCACATTCTGTGATGTTCCAGAGTAGCACTGCAGCTCATTAAAGTGTGTTTACTGTGGCAGTGCTTACTCTGAACACTACTCATGTACATGTCTGAAATTTCCTCACATCTGTAATCAGTCCCCTGTTAATTTTTTATCTTAATAGCTTGAGTCTGAACAGTGACACTGCTTGATGTGTTTGGGCTCAGTCTTTCAATTAGCATTCATAATCAGATACAACTAAAGTCCTTAATGTTTAAAGGATTGAACCTTTAATTGTGTAGCTGTGTGGCTAATATCTTTATAGGAAGTTCTCACACTGCTTGAAAAGAACTCTTACAGCCCAGTTTTAACTCAGTTTACTATAGCGTATGTATAGAAGGGCCACCAAAAAAAAGCAAGAAAGTTTTAATATGTTATGAAAGCTGCCAGACTATGCAAGAACTAGGTTGTCTAGAGATTGATCTTACTATTCTATCTTTTGTTGTCTTGTCATTACCTCCAAGTCATACTAAATTTTTAAGCAGAGACTTTATTCATTATTTCAAGTATATGTATGGACACTCTGTAAGTAATAAACATGAGCCATGATAAAGGTGAACATCTGAATTGGGCCCTGGGCAACTTGATTTAGTACTTGATTTTGATCTAGTGAATGGCAACTCTGTGTGCAACAGGGATGCTGGAACTTGATGATCCTTGAGAATCCTAGTATCTAGTCTAAATCTACCCTCTTCCAAATCTTAAGGTTTATTTTCTGAAGAACTGGTTGCTGAAATTCAGTACAACCTGGCAATAATTTTAACAACTGTACACTCAGTAGGAGGAGGTGTTGGTAGGAAACATGGGGGGAGTGTCTGAGATGAGGTAGGAAGTAAAAATATTAGGAGTTTTTTTTCTAAACCTAAGGCAAAATTATTTTGCAGTAGCAAAATACAGATGCCCTAAGAATAATGATTTACTGCTATGAAATCAATAATGCTAAATTTCTGAAGTGTGTGATAACTCTCCTCACAAGCCAGGTTCTAAGCCCCTGACTATTATGGTGGCTTTTGATGAGCCTGCTCCCCACCACCATGGTCCTTTCCAGCCTCACCAACTTTCCTCTGACTGAAGGGTCTGTCATTTGTGGGAATGGTCAATACATCTGAAGGCAGGGCTGATGTTCAGGAGGAGCTGGGCAGCCTCTAGGAAGAGGCCCATCAGCAAGGACACAGATGGCTCAGAGGTTGCACCAGTTCAACAAGAGCATGATTTTGACATGAAGGTATTTTTTTATGATGCCATTTAAGGTTTTAGAGAGCAGTCTTTAGAGCCAGATAAGCAGTATGTCATTAACTAATCAAAATTATATAAAATACTGTCTTTGCAGTTGCTTGTTAGGACAAAACTGCATGATTTTCCATAATATGCAGCTGCAACTTTTCCAGGTAAATGTTGCCCATCTGAAGTAATGCTTTATTATATTCAGGTTTTATTGTTACAGTGAGAAAATACTATTAAACAACAGATTTACAAATAAAAATATGGGTATATTTTATTTCTAGCTATCTGATAATAAATCATCTTTATGGTTTGTAGTTCAAGGCTTCTGGTTAGTTCTTACTTTGTTCAATTGAAATGTTCTTTTTTGCAGATTTTTACATTTTTTGAAATGTTCTATGAAGTATTGTTGTAACATACCCTAATTTTCCTGTGATAGTAAAATAATTAGAGGTTGTTTGCCGTGGGAGTTAGGCTGATATCTTGCATTCAAACTCTACCTACAGAAAAATTAATTACTGTTTCATTTCTGCATGCTAACAAATTACAAAAAACCAAGCCATTCAAACTGTCCTTTTGCATACCAGAGCCTACTGTGCTGGTATATTGCATCCATAAGTGGTTATTTGTCTGGTAAGGTACATATTTAATTTAGTTGGAGTACATATTTTATGTATCTGTCATTGAAGGAAACAACATTATGTAGCTCTTGTAAATCAACATGTCCCTGAATGCAACACGTTGAACAGCTTTGCAAAAAATAACAGATAGTTGTTTTTTCCTAGGCTCCAACAGAAAGTATTTATAGCAACTATAAAAATATTTACAGTAGAACAAAATATGATAATATTAAATATTTGATGTTTTGTCATTGGTCATATAAATACCTGTTTTCTAGGAGCAAAGATTTTCTGCATTTGATGATAAGAATACCAACCAGCTATATTCCAGAGCTGTTTTTTCCCCCAAATTATGTATTTTAAATGGCTGTGGGTTTATTAAGTTTGAAGAAAAAAGAAAAAAAGCAGCAAAAATGGAAGGATGTTTGCATGTGTCAAATACAAAGGCTTTTTTAAAAATGTCCTCGGTGTGACTTACATCCCTTTGTTAATATTGCTTCCTCAAAGATGCAATTTTATGTTTTGTCCACAAGATGGGGAAAATCTCAAGTTTTAATTATTTTTGAAGCCAGTATAAACTGCTAATTTATAGCCTGAATGCAGTGGAATTTATGGTAAGCACTTCAATTTATTTTTGCAGTCCATCTGCTGACAAGGCCAAAATCAGAGCAGCCCATAGAAGAATCATGATCTTGAATCATCCTGATAAAGGTAAATATTTATTTATTTATTTTAATCAAAGCTGGGAAGGAAGAGCCCTAAATGAGATCCTTTCCGTTTACTGATTGTATAAATAACAGTGCTGTATGAAGTTTATTTATAGACTTATGCTTCTGTGCATCGTATCTCAGATTAAGTAGACTGATTTCCAGGCTTTATGAACCCCAGCTTTAACCAGTTTCTTTAAGGTTTTCTTAAGGTGCTGCTTCAGGTAGGACTACGAGTTTGTGGATCAGTGCTCCACACACATACAAAAAAAAAACCACCACCACCACCAACAACAACAACAAAACAAAAACCAACTTCCTCTGTACTATGAAAAAAACGAGCTGTAATATTTTTCTTAAACTCCTGTTCCTGTTTTGAAAGGAGATGGACCACTCACATGGAGGAAGGTAGCTTTCTGTGGGAAAATGTCTGCATAATTTCAGACTTCCTTGAATTCACTTGGAAAAAGAAAAAAAAAAAATGTAAAGCTGGGCACTGTTGCTTTACTAGTGAGGTTTTTAATGTAAATTTATCTTATAGAAAGGCTATTATTATAACTTTAACTACACTACAGCTGCTTGAGAAAGAAAGCCCATATGTTCATTGCTGTTTCTACTTTAAAATAACAGATGGTGAAGAGTTACGCTGTATTTCAGAAGTCAAAAGGCGAAATCATAGGGTTTTTGTATCTTTTTGAGAGAATTACAGGGTTCCCTGCTTCTATCCCATCTTAAAAGAATGGAAAAAGTAACTGACCACTGGCTGTGTAAAGTGTTTAGTCGATGTTGTCTTACTGTCTTCACCACTTGGATTTAATTCTAAAGTTTTCCTGCTTATTTGATGTCATGCTTCCATTTTTTACAGTTTTGTAATGTAGAAGTTACACATTTATTAAAAATGTAGATTTTTCTGGTTTATTATAATGGCCAGAGACTTATTAACCACTAGAGAATCTAAGAGGTCAAAAGTTTTTTGTAATGAATTTCAAAGTTTTCTTGTAGCAGCCATTGCAGACTTGAGCCAGAGTTGTGAATTTCCATGTGGATGTTGAGTTGCACTAAAAAAGCAGTTCCTTTTACAAAGATCATTTTAGGGGCCAATTCTTACAGCTGTAATGCACCTGCAGCTAGGCACAGTGTAGTTTTTGATGATGTAGTGAGCACTCCTGTGTGCTATTAAGATGGAGCATTTTCTCTGCAGGAGCACCAGTTGAAGGGATTTGTGCCTCCATGCTGCCCCTGCAGCTCTTCTGTCATGGCCAAAGAGAAAAGTGTTGTCTAATGTCTTCAGCTGCAGAGCTAAGACCTAGAACAATCTTGAACATGTGGCATTGCAGAGAGATTTGCTTGCTTATATTTTCAACTTCATTTCTTCTGGCTCTGGTAGCACAGATGTGCTTTTAAAAGTAATATCCAACATTAGAATGTAATTCTACCAGCTGGCGTTGGTAGAAGAAAGATCAATAAATACAGATTTGAAAAGTTGCTCGTATTACCTGAGATTCAAAACACTGAAGACAGCATGATTAGAAATAAATCACTAATATATAGAAGTTTGCATAATAACATCCCTGGTGAACAGTACTAAAATGGTTGCTCATTAACCTTTGCACAGTTCGGTTTAAAAGTGTTTTTATATTGATATACTGTATGTTATTTTTTATATTTATTATTTATTCTATGAAAGAATGCTTGCTAACAGAAACAGAGGAAGAGATGAGCCTTTTGGACTTGCTTTAATTATAAACAAACACTTAGGCAATCATGAGATTGAATTTTCTCTCATTGGAGGGCTGCAAAATTAATATGGCACTTCAGGGTGTTTCAGGATGTGAACATAGTGAAAACACTTCTCACTGAATTGAATTTACTTTAAGATCCTGCACTCTAGTAATGTAGAAACTAAAGGCAAAGTTGAAAATTGCTTGGGATACATAGTTTATTGCAGTTTATAGTCCTTACTGTCTTCTTGTCAGGTTTTTGAAAGAAGCAGTACTCTGTGTAGCAGACAATTTTCTGTCCTTGCCCTGCCTCACTTTCCTCAAATGTCTTTGCTATTAGGACTGAATTCAAGCAAAACAAAGCATGAACAAGACAGCTGAAGTCCATTATTTTTTTCCAGCTGTTTTATTAGGCTATGAACTGACTTTATAATGATTTGGATTCCTGCAAAAGTGACCTGAAGAAGTCTTTGTTTTTACGAGCGTTTAGTGCTAGTTCTTCTGTGTGTTTTCTATCACTATCTTCTCTGATGAATGAAGAATTACAATTGAGCAGACCTCTTGGAAAAGGCTGGTTAATGTGCTGAGTAGTATTGCTGGAATCACGTTTTTATGTAAAAAAGAAATGAAGATATATAGGTGCATTCCTGTAAGTGGTAAGCTACTGATACAGACCTTGTAATGTTGTTTTCAGTGACTGCAGGCAGATGGTTGGCACTCAAGGGGAGAGTTAAAAAACAAACACAAAAAGACCACTGAACTGTAATCAAATTGTTAGATGGAGCGTAAAGCAATGACAGTGTTCAGGACTAGAAGTTAGAAGGCGTACCATGTTTAAATAGCTTTAATGTGACAGTTTCTGCCTGGTAATTCTGGGTGTCTAGAATAGGAGAGGCTTGGAGTATGCGTGCACATGCTTGATGATTTTGTCAAAATTATTTATAAAATGTTGCCTCTTAGTTTTTGAGGTGGGTTGACATAATAGCTATCTGCTTTAGATGAATGTTTGAGACAGCTGACCTTGCATACGTTTGCAGTAATGCTGCAGTAGAAATCTAAATCAAACCAGTGTGAAATGCTTTTAGATTTCAGACTTCTTTCCAAGACAAATTGTTTAGCTTTATTCTTAAGCAACTTCAGTTTTGTTTACATTCTTCATGTTATCTTATCAATTAGTTTTCTTTATGTCAGTGCCATTTTTTAATCTTTTGTATGAAAAACATCTGCTTAGGAAGGAAAAGCTAATAAAAGTGAGTGATAAAGGGATGCTGTAAGTGAAGTTGTTTGGTGCTCTGCACTAACATGTAAATGGTATTTCTCTGCCTTTTTTCTTCCCAGGTGGATCACCTTACTTAGCAACAAAAATAAATGAAGCAAAAGACTTGCTGGAGTCCAGTACCAAAAATTGAAATCCTAAGACTTGCATCGCAGAAAAACAAAATAAAAAAAACAGCAGAAAACACACACAAAACCACCTTGCTTCTTATGCATTTTTCTCTGGAAGATTCAACAGATACAGTGTGCAACAGCTTTCATATCTACTTGTTCTGCACAGTTGGTTAACAGTGTACTGGATGTTTATATTGTTGAAATTAAAGATTTAAGACTATTTAAAAACAAACTGAATTCTTTTACAGCTATGTCTCAGTTTTAGTGTATTTCTAATAAATTCTGACACAGTGTATTTCTACTGAATTCTGACACATTACAAGCTTAGAGAATTCTCTTAAAATGTTTTTCTTTGGAAGTAGTACTTCTGTGAAACTTGGAACTTCTAAAAATTAAATGTGTCTTGAATATAGACTTTACCTTCATTGATGAAGATGATAATTGTCAGAAAATGTGTAATAATGTATTCAGTCAGTGCATGGGGTCATGGCAGACTCATATGGCAACTTTTCAGCATCACCTTACATACAGTGGAAATGAAGAAGGCATGTCCACATGGTGTAGGGTCAGATGGGTTTTTATAATCTGTTTATTAGATAAATTAGTCAAATCACACACTGGTGTGTGATTGATACAGCAGGGAGCAAACGTGGCTGAACCCCTTAATAGCAGTTTCTTTGCTTATTGCTTTGTAGACTTTCCAAGTTAGGTCTACATTAGTTCTCACATCACCCAGTTGTGGGTGGCCATATTTGTTTTTTTCCTTGAAAGGATGAAAGAATATGACAGTTTTCTGTTGTTTTGTTTTTAATATATTGCATAATTCCCATTTTGTCACAATTTCCTTGTATTAGGGAAAGATGACAAAATTTAATTTGACTCTGACCAAAAATACTAAATATGGGTGAGTTAAAGACTTCCTGACATATAGTGTCATTTCCTGACAAAAAAGGGTGCATGGAGAATCCTGCTTGGTAGTGGGCATACACACTTGTGTCATTTAACTAATTCTGTAATACAAAAGGCTTGTGTATGAGCAGGAAAAAAAAACAAACAAAAAAACTATGAGGGCTGTCACTGTGGGAGGAGAGAAGTGGGATGGTGTCCCTAATTTTCTGAAGTGGAACCTGTGTGTGATCTGAGTCATTGCCCAAAATGAAAATTGATGTCTATGTTAGGTAGCCACAATATTCCTCCTAATAATTTTGAACTGACAAGCTGTTGTTTTCACGTGATTGCCTTTTCTTTTTGCTGAGTAAAATGAAGTATAGAGAGCTAAAGTATCGGTTGAAACCAATGCATTGGAGATTGCTAATCTAGTTCTTCTCTTACAAATCAACTTTCTATATCTTTATAGGGAGTATGTTTTTATTTTTTGTGAGATTGTGTTGTTGGTCATTTTCTTCCTGATCTCATTATTCGTACCTGATTATTTTGGAAGAAACACTTCTTTTTCTGGTATTCAGTTATGACAAAAGATTGTCCTCCTTGATATTAAAAAAAAAAAAAAGTCCAAGCTCTAGTTTTTGTCCTCTTTTGAGTCTTATGACAAATTAACAAATTTGACAAATTAACTTTGGCTATCAGTATATCTGGAAAATGCCATAAAATGAGTGAAGCTAATGAGCAGTGCTTGTAAAAGCATAATAGTTGTGTGCCTAGTTCTCTAACATCAGCGTGCAATATGTGCAATATTGTGCACATGTGCAATAACATAAGTAGGTATCTATGGAAGCAACTAATTCTTTCCTTGTCTGTTCACTGGCAAAGTTTATGTTTTACCTACTAAATGATGTTTGGAAGGATGAAGACAGGACAGCAAATGGAAAGATGTAGTCAAGCAAATCATGTAAATACTGTTCAATTTGTTGTCACCAGTTGCAAACTGTGCTGGCTAAGGATTGTCTTTGGAGAACGCTCATGCAGACTGCCATGCAGAACAGCACCTGTTTGGTACTTTAGTCCTCAACTGGACTGGGAAGAACAGACACTATTTCTTTGGCAGCATATTCATTTAACTTCACAAATGTTTCGCCTCTTGAAACTACTTTATTTATTTGTCAGATGCAGAAATCCTCAGTGTAAGAGAACAGCGTAGAAATTGATTTATTCTGATGCAAATGCTGTCCATCCATAATTTCAGCAAAAAGTAAAATAATTTTTAGTGTGTTTTAATGTTCAGAAGGTGTTCATCTGTACCTTACTACTAGCCTGGGAATTCCCAGTTAGCTTTCTCCTTACACTGGAAGTGAGAGAGGACTGATTGCATTAGTTTGGCATTGCTGCAGGTGATTTCTAGTTATGTGATGAGCAGCTTGCTCACCTGCCTAGTTTTTGCTCTTATTCCTTGGGAGCTTGCCCTCACCTCAGCAGACTTAGATATAGGTTCACAAAAAGACTGGATGAAATCTGATCATCTGTTTGCAAGAGTGCAGCTTGCAAAAACTCTGCTGTCCTAAAATGGGTTTTGAGTACAATCAGAACATGTGAACACAGGGGCACAGTTCATAAAACTGTTGCTCGATCTCTTTGGAAAGTGTAGAGGTAAAGATTCTTACTCCTGTACGTTTAAATTTTTACTGCTTCAAAGACATAGAACTGTTTCCATCTTAACAGTCTTTTTCTTTAATCTGCAGATTTGATACCTGGTGTCTTAAGCTCCCTAAGAAGCCTGGTCTGGTTGTAAAGTGTTGTAGAGGACAGTGTCCTTCAGCCTTGGTGTGAAAATCCTCACATCTGTCCTGGTACTCAGATGAGGCTGGTGGTAAGGCTGGGCTGAGGAGATGATGGCATTTGCTCTGCTTCCTGCTGTAGTTCTGGAAGAAGCATAAAGCCTCCAAGAAGCAGACTAGTGAGCTCCGGTCCACACTCCTGAGACAGTTTAAAAAATCAGATAGTGTCAGCACATCTTATCACAGATGATATCATCAATTTCTTCAGGAGTGTAATTTTCTGCATGTTGAGTGTTAGGATCTTTCCTTTATTTCACATTCTTTATCTGTCTGTCTTTCCATCCTTGATAAGCAGCACAGTGGGCTGACACTAAATTTCCATCTCCAGTCTCCAGAACTACTTAGTTGAATTGTGGTACATTCTCCATGGGTTATCAACAGCAAATTTTGGCATATAGGTTTCCAAGAATCAGCAATGACAGCACAATCCTGGGATTTTTAGATTGTGTAATTTCAACATTTGTTGTCAAGAAGCAGAATGAATGTGTACGTACGTATAGACATATTTGCTTATGCAGATACCACTTTTCAAGATTCTCTGAGGAACTTCATATCCACAGTGGAGTGCATTTTATAAAATATTTTTCTTGCATTTTCCTAATCAGGCTATTACAATTAGAAACTGAGAAAGTCATTCATCTTTAATGGGTATTGTTGCATAAAGAAGCCAAATGAGTAAATAGAAGACATCACCCAAAACATCTCAAATTTGTATTTTTTATTTCATTTATACCCAATTTAACTCAAAAGCAAGCACATACTTCATGTAATTAAGTCTTTTATAGAAATTGTGGCACTCCTCATACTGTACTTCTAGAAGCTTTTTCTTTCTTCAGATGCATTTAGATGAAAAAAAACAAAACACAAGAACTAGAGCTTCTTGGCAAGTTGCCCAAATAACGTTGATTTTATATTAAAACGTTGATTTTAATTAAAACTTCAACTACATTTAAAATAGGTTGTTTTTATTTTCTTCCTTTTTATAAGTTTGTTTTCTTGTTCTGGGCACCAAATAGGAGGGAGGGAATTTTAGGACAGCCTTAATGACTGTTAGTGACCCACAGACCATGAGGTGAGAGAACTCCTCTCTGATGAGTAACTTGAATTATTATCCAGGATAATAATAAACCTATTTCCTTTAATACTAAGAAATCACAAAACTATATTTAGAATGAGAATATCACTTGGTAGCTTCATCCCATTAACATTCTTAAGATTTTCCAGGAGGAAGTCATGGTACACAAGAAGCGCTGAACAACTTGATGTGACATTAAAGCCACCTACTGTGCTATTACAGCTTCCTTATTTGTATACTAACTTATACAAGGAGAGGTTAATGTATATATAGATTAATATATATAGATAGATATATAGTTTAATTATAAGGCCTGGGTCTGCATATAGTGGTTTCTCCTGACCATTGGAATTGGTTTTGAGATCCTAAGCCAGGATGCCATTGGCCTTCTTGGCCACCTAGGCACACTGCTGGCTCGCATTCAGCCAAGCATCAACCAACCCCCCTAGGTCCATTTCTTCCACACAGTATATCCAGCCACTCTGCCCCAAGCCTGTAGCGTTGCCTGAGGTTGTGGCCAAAGTGCAGAACTTGGCACTTGGTCTTGCTGAACTTCATCCCATTAGCCTCAGACCAATGATCCAGCCTATCCAGAATGGCTATCCTTCCCTCAGGCAGATCGGCACTTCCAGCCAACTTGATGTCATCTGCAAACTTACTGAACGTGCACTCTATCCTTTCATCCAGGTCATCAATAAAGATATTAAACAGGGCCAGCCCCAATAGCCACCCCTATAGGGGGACACTACTCATGACCAGTCATTTTCTTCTACCAAATGGAAGCAAGCTTCTATTTGTTATGTTCTACTGATCTGAGTACATTATTTAACCACCAACCAACATCGCTTTTAGCAGCAAATGGATACTGTGGGGCCTGAAATACATGAGGGAGCGAGCTGGAAGCCTGGTGCTGTGCCACAGAGCAACATCTGCCTTTTGCTTACGTGCACAGTTGGCACCTCCATATGCTGACAGTACACAATTAGAAATTTCAGCCTTCGTTGAGTCAGGTGAGGTCTCTTCTACCACTCCTTTTGCTAAGCACACAGTCTGCAGATGTTTCCAGGACTCCTGTCATCCCTTCAAGCAATCTTGGTAATGAAGGAAATGCATTTGCTATTGGCCTTTTTCTCGGTGCGACCAGTTTACGTTCTGTCTTCAATAATTCATAAGCCTGCAGGAGGTGCACCAAAATGACTCCAGCTACCTCCAACTTTTTGGGGCAGAAGGATAACAAAAATGGTTTCACAGAAACTAAAGTCTGTCAGTTCATTGGTGAAAGCACTTAAACAGAACTTATTAGCTATTCAGGAGGAAGGTTTCGCTAAAGGTACAATGCATTTATGTATAAAAGTGCAGTTCAACTCCTGAAAACTGCCTACGTAAATAAGCACTTGTCACATCCTATTTTTGTTGATCTTTTTTTTTTTCTCCTTCTAAACTTGTTTACTGTATTGCTGTCATGCTTTTAATCCTGAATTGGCTGGGTCCCAGTCCTAGGGGGTTAATAACCAGTGAGCTGCACTGGTGCGTTGCTTTGATGAGGTAGACAGTGGTACAGGCATTCACTCAGGACAAAAAGCACATGCTAGTGTCACCCGTGGCACAGCCTGACTACAAAGACTTTACTCAGTGTTTGGAAGAACAGACTGCGGTCCAGATTTATGAGTCTGGAAAAAAAACATTAATGGCGAATCCAGAAATAAATCCACCAAATGTTTTAAAACCTTAATTTCCACTGGACTTAACAGGAGAGGTAGCAGCATGTCCACTGGTGGGTCCAGAACCACTTTGGCTCCGTATCGTTCATATCATCTGATTTCCAAGTTTCTGGATATTTGTTGGGCACTGCGGTAGTTAGCACTAACAGACTTTTTCCTTTCTATGTGCAGAGACATAATGTAGTTCTGAGAAATCAGAGGTTAAAACAAACAAACAAAAAAAAATAGTGCACTTTGAAGCTGAGGTGAGGGAGCAGCTGTGGAAGGGTTTCTAGAGTACAAGTTTGATTGTAGACATCAGAATGCAAGTTACTCAAATGTTTAGCTCTTTTTATCTATTTTGGATGTGGCTGTTAGCACCTTGGTACTTGCATACAAAGAATACTTGATAGCACAATCACGAAAGCAATAAACAGCCCTACAAAGGCAGAGATCTAAGGTGACTCCTTCAAGTGGAATCTTACTTTAAGCATGATTTCAATGTCACGTATCATAATTGCATCTAATATTAGAGACTGACTTAACACAATGCAACGTCAATGACAATATAAAGGCAATCATGAACAGAGAAGATAGCTTAAAATGTTTTGGGGGATGGAAGGAAGGATTACACTGTAATGAAGACTCCTCAATACTCTGCAAATCTTTTTCAGCAAGCCAGAGGGATTTTTTTTTTTTTCTCCTAAGCTTCTGGACACTTTATCCATGCTTCCATTTTGGTACAGGAGTCTGCCTGGAATCTATAAATATGATCTATTTTTGGTATTTTTTTCCCTTCCTCACACTTGTGAATTTATCTGCTGCTAAGCACTGAAGGTGCATATCTAAAGCTGGTTAGCAAGTTGATGAGATTACCAATGGCTGAGAATTAAATTAGGAGCTCCCTTACCCCCCCCTGTTTTCCATATCTGGGTGATATGGCTTGGAAGATGTGAACCTAAACTCCTTTGGCTCT